TCTAATTTCAATGAGTAGCCTGTGTTTATTTAAAACACTGAAAGAATTCGGTTTTTGTTTGTTTCCTTGTTTTTGCAGTGCTGAGGATCAGGTCTTGTACACACTAGGCAAGTGCTCTACCATTGAGCTACATCCTCGGTCCAAAAGAACTCATTTGCAAGACTATCTGGACTCAAAGTCTTTTTTGGAGTTAATTATTCAAAAGCATATTTTTCATCTTTGTCATTACTAATCAGGTCTTCCATCTCTCCTTAAGTTAATTCTAATTATTTTACCCATTAATATAATAATTTATGTTTAAAAGCTCTTTACATGCTATAGAAAAAGGAAACTTAGTTCCTCTCTTCTGTTTCCTTTGAATTATAGGTACTATGTTTCTTCTGTGCTCCCCAGAGAAAATATCAAAACAAATACTTAGTCTTTCTCACCACAGATAATTTGTGAGACTGAAGAAAGCAGGTAACCATTGGGCTAACTTCACCAGGACTTTTATTAAAAAGTAGTAAGAGTCTATCTTTACTCCTGATATCAAACTTATTCTATCACTCCCTCACCCCCTTGCCCAGATGCGCAGACCTTGAGCTACTGCCCCTACAAGACAACCAGGCTTTGTGGGTGTGTTAATTAGGCCTGCCAGGCCTACTTTTCTACCTACCCCCCAGCTTCTCTATTGGCAGCTGGCTGTCTACAGTCGACGGATCTCAGACATTAGGAAACTCATTCTGGCTAAAAACGTAAGCTCCATTTTCCAATTCATCTTTTCCAAGGAGCCTGTCCTGAGAAAGTCATTTTGCCAACATTAATAAAGCTGATAATTTCATTAAAATGGACTTTTATTCTCCAATCCAGGACTCCGAAGAGAAAGAGAGAATTAGCTAGATGAGGCAGCATGCATATACTTATAAATCCAGCACTTAGGAGACTAAGGCAGGAAAATTATGAGTTCAAGACTAACCTAGGCTACATAGAAAGGACAGGGAAGGAAGGGAGGAATAAAGAGAGGGAGGAAGGGAGAGAGAGAGAGAGAGAGAGAGAGAGAGAGAGAGAGAGAGAGAGAGAGAGATTTACTGAATTCTCAAAGATGACCCTGAGCCTATTGGAGTCTCCTTCCCATTCTCAAGTTTAGAGGTATGAATCTGTGTCTACATATGTAAGTTCTTTTAAGTAGACTTTCCAGTAATCCACCTGCTGTCCCTAATCTCAAAGATTCAGTATGGGTGGAAAGCAGCTGTAAGGCCCCAACTTCATGGTGTTACAGATGTTCACTCTCAAGTCCCACTAATCCCACAGCACGGCTTCTACTGCTTTTCTCTGCCAACTTCCCTTACATCTAACAAAGATCCTCCTCTCTGCTCTGTTTCATGGGTTCCTACTTGTTCACTTTGTCCATTCATCAGGATCCTCAGGGGTTCCTTTTCCTTCTCCTGACTTCTTTGATCCTACTCTGAGGCTGACTGCCAGGTTGACTTGGCATTTCTGGTTCAGATGCAGAAAGTAAGAAATCTTCCCAGCCCTGCTCATCCCTTTATGCCACACTGCATCATGGGTCTCCAGAAAGCTAAGACATGACTGCCCCCTAAGAGGTCAGCTGCTTGACCCTAGATCTACCATCTCCATTTACAGCTCAAAATCAACACATTGAAACAGAATTCTTGATTTGCACCCCCACATTGGTTCTCCTTTCCTTTTTCCATGATACTCACCACCATCTACCAAGTTGTTCGACCTCATGTAGTTGTCCCTGCTTCTTCTCAGTCACCTAACCTCAACCACACACTCATTCTTCAAGGCTCATCAGTTTTTTCCTAAAATAGATCCAAAGTCTGTCCATTCTTTTCATCTCCATTAACACCAACTTAACCCACAATATCATTATTCTTTGTCTGGATGATGAAAGTAGCATTCCAACAGTTCCTTAGCCAGTCATTGCATGTTTGATTTTATTATTTAATCCATGAGAACTCTACTCTCATCTCATGAATGGGTAGTGCCAATTATAAAAGGGTTTGGGACTGAGTTCTCACTCTTGCTTCTTTTAGTCTAACTCTTGCCCTTCTGGTTTCCAACATGATATAAGACAGCACCACAGCTCTCACCAAATGCCAGCAGGCTCTTGTAACCAACTATCAGAACCGCCAAACAAATTTCTGCTCATTATTATCTGTGGTATTCTGTTATAGCATCACAAAGCAAATTAGGACAATACTCCACAAGGCAGCAGCGATTACTTTGAAATACAAATCCAGTCATGAAAATCCCTCACTGAAAATCCTCCAGCAGCTCCCTGTTTCTCTTAGAATAAAATCCATTCTTCCTCCATGCCCCACAAAAACCATCATAATCTGACTCCCCCCAATCTCTCCAGCTTCATCTCATAGTATTCTCCCCACACTTTCAACATGCCAGACACACAGCCTCCTGTCAGTGACTGGGAGCCCTGCAGCTCCTCTGCTAGCTTGGTCTTCCCCTGCTTCCTCAACTGCCTATCTCCCTAACTTACTGGGAAGGAAACTATGAAGAGACAAGAAAAGGCAAATGTCAAAAATGGGAATCAAGAAAAAATTCTTCAAAAGATAGGTGCAGATAAGGTACAAAACTGAGAACACAAAAACATGAGATCATTAGCATTCCGGGAGAAAGGAAAACAGGGTCACAAATTTTTTTAATAAATGCAAATGTTGTGCATTCTTTCAGTGAACATTCTAACCACTTTCTAAGTCTTAGGTAATCATTTAACTTCTCTGCCTATGAGGTTTATACGTATATAAGTGGACTTTCCTCAAATTCTAATAACTATGATTTTCATTAGTTTAAGAACTTATCAAAATGCAGGCTTGAAATGAGTCAGAAACATTTGAAAAAGTTATTAAGAGCCCTTAGAAGAATCAAACAATCTTTTCTGGTTGTAAGTTTGCATAGCAAGGATCTAGGACACGTTTTAAAATAAAGCAACTCTCTCATACAGCCTTGGGTACATGAGGCATCATCTCCCAACAATAGCCTGGCCCTCTGGCCTCTCTTTGTCCCCTCCTATGCCTCTTCTGTAAATCACAGGTGTTTGTGGACAGAAAGCCCATCAGAAGAGTTCATTGTGAGGAGTTCTTTCTTTGCCACTTGTTCTAAACCTGTTCAGAGAGTGCTTCACGCTGTACCCCAAATCTCCATAAAAATCAAGAAACAAGAAATTTTCTGTACACCCGCCCAACAGTGCACTATGACATTAGTTTCGACTGCTCTGTGACTGTGTATTGTCCCAGCTTTATTCAAGAGTCTCTTTTTCTCTTTCTTTTTCTATTGCTTTTTTTAAAAGCTTTTATTGGCATTTAGTATTTTTTATCTACTGTAAAATAAAAAGGAGGATTTTTTTTCCAAGCTGTCTGACAGCTCTTTAAAAAAAAAAAAAAAAAAGCTATCTGCAGTTACTGTAGCAATGGTTTTAAATAAAAATAAAAATAAACACCTGCAAGTCAAAGAAAAGCACCATGGCAGCGTCTTCATTTTTTTCCCGTCACTTAAAGTTGCTTCGTGGTCATTAAAGAGCAGGCCTGGCAATGAATTTATGTGACAGCTATGAAGTTAGTATTAAACTGTGAATACTGCTGAGCAGTTTTCGTGCCCATGCTGTAAGATCGCCGCAATTTGCCACACAGCGGTGAATAGGGTATGGAAGGGTGTGTGTGTGGTGTGTGTGTGTGTCAAATGAATGGGAGGGTGTGTGAATGGGAGGGCTTCCCGGACAGGGCAGCACAGTAGTCACCAGAGAGTGATTTATTTTTGAACTTCCAGAAAAGAAGGCCTAGAGGAAAAACTGCCAGAAAGACTCTGAAG